CTGCCCTAACCCTTCCCCCCCCCCCCTACCCCCCCTACCCCCTACCCCCCCTACCTCCCCTACCTCCCCTCATCTTCCCTGCTTTTCTGCCCTCCATCCCTCCGTCCCATGCACTGCCCTCTCCCTTGTTTGGGACCTTCGCAGAGGATCCACGGCCACGACCTCTGGGCTTCTGCGGCGGACATGCACCAACGCTACCGACGTGTGTCCGGTGCCCTCTGCCTCAGCAGCCGAGGCGGGCGGCGTAGCGTTAAAACTATAAATATGATGGTTAAGACGGTGGTGATGATGAGACGAGGAAGCGGAGGAGGAGGAGGAGGAGGAGGAGGAGGAGGGACAGGGGAGAGCGGGAGTGCTAGAGCGTCCTGCCTATGCCCAGGATCTGGCCGCCGGACATGCAGAGGCCGGCCAGTGTGCCCTCACCGGCCTGGCTGACCATGATGGCCGCCTCGAAGGAGATAGGCATCAAGGGCATTGCAGAGAAGCCAAGGCCTCCGAAGGCCAAGACTAGAAGCTCCAAACCGCCCGGTCCATCGCCCACGTAGATCACCGTCAGAGCAGCAAGGAGCGCGAAGAGCACGCAAAGCACACAGCACGTGGTGAGGACAGGCTTGTGCTTCCCAGTCAAGCCTACGATGACGGACATAACAAGAGCCCCGAGGACACCACAGATCGTGCAAGCCACCCCGAAGATGGAGGCATCATCGGCGCTGTACCCAAACGGGCCCACGAGCTGGGCAGCGAGGGTGCTCAAGGTGTTGAAAGACCCCAGACTGCAGCTGAAGGACAAGATCAGGCACCACCTGGCAGAATCTAGAGCGCCACAGCTTGGTTGGCTACTTCCACTACTACCACCACTACGACAACTACACTACCAGTACACTACCAGTACACTACCAGTACACAACCAATACTACCGGTACCATTAGTCCAACTAGTACAACTGGTACAACTGGTACCTCTAGTACCGCAAGTACATGCTGCTGCTGCTGCTGCTGCT